ATCCTGGGCGGGCCACAGGATAGAAAGTCAATATTCAATTTACAGGTTTCCTACACACACACACACACACATACACACACACACACGCACACACACACCCCTGTCTCGGTCAGCAATTTTCTGGGCCACCCAAATGAACTCTCGATCTGTTTGTATGGTGGGAAAGACTACAGCACCACCGGCTGCTTTACTTACTCCTACCCCTAGCATCCCGAACCCCTGGGAAAATGTTTTCCATTCACAAGCCCTGACATGTGGACAAAGCACTCGTTCACCTGACTGAGCCAGCAGCTCTCAAATCCCAACACTGTATTTTCAGCAATGTGTTCTGTCATCAGTTTGACAGTTTATCCCCTAAGTACACATCTTTCTGGGATTCTCTTTATTTTGGGAGAAGGTAAATCGTTTCCCTCAGGCCACTGAGAATACATTCCAGAGAGGTATATAATAGAGAACCAGGCTGTTACATAACATCATTCCAAGACCTCCATTGTGCTCCTAGCTCCGGCTTTAGTCCAAGACAAAACAAGGGCCAACCTTACTTGAATCCTCTGGGAACTACAAAGTAATTTCATATGTTCATGGGAATTTATGCCGATACATCTGCGCACAGGAAATTTTCACAGGGTAAGCAATTCAACAGGCTCTTACTATAGTAAATTAGTGGTTTGGGTAAGGTTCAAACATTATCTACTAAAGTAGACACCTGGGCAGTTACGGTAAGAGGTTGCCAGGTGAACCGTTTGGAGTTTTGTTTACCTTTCAAAGGACTGTGTGATCTCCAGTATCAGGCCCCTGGAAACCCCAACCGGCACCTCAAGCAGCATGGTCCTCAGAACATTCATCCAGATTTACATACATATTCTTGCCAACACTGAATATTGGTTACTGCCCTCGATTCTATAAACATTTGAACACTGGCCAAGACAAAGGAGTAAATTCTCCTTCTCCTCTCAACACGCACAGCCCATTATAGGAAACTGCAAATAGTGGCAGGTTTCTATGCTCGTATTCCTACGACACAAGAATTCTTAAAGATAAACCAAGAAACTTGCTCTGTTTTGGTGTAAGGAGAGTCTTGAGGTTGAGATCTAGGCTCCATGACCACTGAGCAGCAGAAGCAGACTGAGAATTTGTCCTCAAAAAGAGTGTATCTTTTCAGGTTATCTGTCACACCTCCCCAAAGAAGCCTCTCAAGACATGAATCATGAGGATTTTGTGGTACAGCTTTCAATTTATAGCAGCCTTTTCCTGATGCTTCCAGTGACATTTCAGGGAATCCCTATCTTCATATAATTTCCTACTCTTTTAAGATACAGGAATGAATGTTCTCTGGAGAGAGTTCAATAGCATGCAGGCCAATGTTTTACTGTCTAAGCACAAATATGCCAAGGCCTACCACAAGGTGGCAGTGTTATATTTCAGCCATCAGCTCAGCCCCGGGACACTGTGATGACCTCCTTGTGTTGACCTCAGCACAGCAGCCAGAGATTCAAACAGATGTGGTGTGTTTTCTTCCTTTCCACTGGCAATTCCCTGGAGGGACTGTAATATATAGAATAGAATATAGAATACAGAATATAATATAGAATATAGAATATAATATAGATTAGGTCCAAAGTTATTTTTTGGTCCATGGTATTTAGCCAAAGTTATATTCAGGAATGGACTCTGACTCTTAGTTAGATGATCAACCAGTTGGCTAGCCTTACTTGTCACTACAACTATCAAATCATTCCAGTGGGCAAGTAACCACAATGCCATCATTGATAAATGCGCTTGATTTTTATGCTTAGATACAATTCTCACTAGCTTTGAGAGAAATCAAAGAGAGCAGAAATCCTTGGGGAAAGGCCATACACATTTGTGTAAGCCAAGTGTGCTAGACTCTTCTCTGAGCAATATCAAGGAGCCACTGTTACTCTGATTTGTCACACAACTGCAGCCCAATTCAGCTTCTGGATTTCCCATTCAGACTACCCAATTCCTGGCACAACAGTCACTTTCTTAATTCATGGCAATTATGTTACATCATGAATAGTCAAGAGTTATCTGCAAGAGCCACTTGTAGAGGGAATCTCTTGTGTACTGTATGGAAGCATTACTTGTCAATAAAAAGCTCATGGTCTATTAGTTGAGGCAGGAAATAGGAGTGGGAGTTCTAGCAGAGAGAGAGGAACTCTGGGATAGAGTGACAGGCAGGAGATTTGCCCAAACTCTGAGGAAGGCAGACAAGAACCTGAGGCTAGGTAACCAGCCATTGGTCCACATAGAATAGAATAAATGGTTAATGTAAGTTATGAGCTAGTCAGGGAACGAGCCAAAGCTTATGGCATGTATTCATAAATAATAAAGTCTCAGAGTCATTATTTTGGGAACTAGGGTATGGGTGGAAAAACTCACTGTTATAGCCACTCATTCTCTCCTGGGCTACCTAGGCTTAACAGAAAATACAAGTGGAGATTAGGATCTCTGCTTTCATTGTTTCACAAGGAGAGATGGGACTTGCTGTGCTCTTCAGAAAGCTGGTACTGCCTGTCATCACTATGAAGGAATGCCAGAGCAAGTCTTGAGCTTTCATTTTGCCTCTTGTTGAAACTACGTGGAAGCCACTTCTCTGTCTCATAAAGACATTTGAGATGGTAATTGCAAGAACCTTAACCATGTCCGTTCTAATTTTGTAACAGGTAAAACCAAGAGTTAGATTTGTTTTTTTATTTCTTCCTCTGCATTGTCATAGTGATTTGGTGCTATGTACTGTACTTTCGCATATCCTAAACTTCCATCTCCATACCTTAATGTTGCCCTTTTCCTGTCCTGCAGGGCCTTGGGTATATTTTCTACCACCATCATGGTCCATACAGCAATTGAGGACACACACACACACACACACACACACACACACACACACACACGTTGTGCAGAAACAGATTCAAAAGGAAACAAAAATCCAGGTGAGTGAAATCCCTTGGTGGAAGTAAACTGACAGCCAGCCAGTGCCTTGGCAGGGAAACAGCTGGCTTACAAAGATCCAGAGACAGTCAGGATCAGAAAGAGATTACTTTTATATTTCTCTACTCTACACGGGCAGTTGTGGACCTGACTGTGAACTTTTGGTGGGCTCTGGGTTTTTTTCTCCTCGGTTGGGTTAGTCGGGGCATAGCCATTTTCAGGGCCTGTTCCGTAAACTGTGAGTTTGGACACCCAAAGGCTGCAGAAACAGAAGCACTTGTGCAGCAGCCTACAGAAGAGACAGAGGGCTGTATTCAACACTCTCAGGACATGGGTTCACTGGGGGGGGGGCCCTGTTCCTGAGGCTTCTGCCTTGGGCCGGTAGCTCAGGTGAGCCTGCTCTAGGCTATGACAAGCAGCTGCAGGCAGAGGGGCTCTTCCGACAAGGCTATGCTACCTGGCTACAGAAGGGAATTGTCCCTGCATCTGCTTCCAGCCTCCGAGATCCACTGCTTCTGAGACCTCCTCTGCTCTGGACTGTCACACCGCAGCTTCAGAGCCGTAAGGCTCCGGGCTTTGCCAACCTGTAGGTCCAGTGACTCGGTAAAGTTCTATGCTTTTAGGAGCTGTAAAAGCTCTACTGAGAGTTCAGACATCTCCGTTTGGATGCTAAAATCCTGCACGGCTGGCTATCTGCTTAAATAAGTTTTTGTCCTCTCCATTCTTGGAGAAGGGCTGTACAAGAACTTGATTGGAGACAGGAGGGAGATGGTCTCCACCAATTATTTCACTTCCGCGTGTCCTTCGTGGGTTTATGTTCTACAAATAGAATCTACCTTTAAAATGCAAGAGCGTGTACTGCTCACTTAATCTGAGCTAACAAAGAGATGGAGATAGATAAGACACTGGCTTGAATATTTCTGGAAGTATAAGGAAGTTGTTTCTGACGGGGAATAAGGAGCTAGGAGTCTTGTTTGGGTAGAAGAGTAAATTATTTATTATATACTTATAATTATTTTTATAATTATAATAGTTATGATTATTATAAGAGTAAATTATTTATTATTTACTGTTTGAGACAGCACTTTATGTAGCGTTGAACTCCGGATCTCCCTGCCTACATCGCCCTCTATCATGCAAGTTCAGGAATTTCTTTAGTTTTTATTTTTATTTTTTATGTTTTTATTTTTAACGCGTCTTTTGTACTTAGCCTTCTTCCCACTTTGCCCTTTTTTAATCAACCCACTGACCCCTCCCTGTTCCGTCAGCATTTTCAATACGTTCTTAATCCTAGACCTCTACCCTTACTGTTCACATCGACCATCCTTCCTCCTTCAGCACACTCCCGCACCACATCCAGTAAAGCCTATTCTTACTTTGCTGACTCTGCTGTTTGCAACGATTCCTTCCCTACTCCCTAATCCCCCTAATAGCTTTGTTAGGCAGCTTCTGCCCTCAGTGTGTGACTACCTTGTAGAAGACAGCCTGGCACGTACTAGCCAATCAACCGCACCTTTTGAGGTTTTTTAAAAAAAGTATGCACAAAGTATTCCTCCCGTAGAAACAATAGGAAATGAACGTTTGACAAATTAATTGTTCGATGTTCATTGTCAGAGGAAAAAGCACAAACTTCGCAACTTCTCATTGCACACATTAGCCACGCAAGTTCTTTTGCGTCACCCGTAAAGTTCCTTCTAGCCAAGTTTCCTTTGTGCCTTATAAAGACGGGAAAGAATCACTTCACGCATTAGGAAATGTAGGTGAAAGCGTTGTTGTCACGCCCTCGGTGCAAGAGTCTTGGAAGGTCCCGGGCAGTTTCCAAGCCGTGTCCACAACGACCACGTTGGCGCTGGGCGTGACAGCAGGCCGCCGTTGCCAGGGAACCGTCCGGCGTCTGGCGCGCCAGCCCGCAAGGCCCGCCTTTCACGCCAGCGATTGGCGGATCGCAGGCCAATCGGAATAGCATATGGGGGCGGGGCGCGGATCCCAGCGACGACGCCCCACCCCCGCCCCCGCCCCTCCCAGCCTCTTGTCCTGACTTCCGGGTCGCGGTGTTTGCAAGGACCGCTCGGCGTTAGAGCGTCGTTTCCGTTGCCGGTGTGTGCAGCTGGGGGAAACCGAGGCAGTGCCAGCTTCCCCCTAGTTCTTCCGCTCCTGTGAGGTGGCTGCTGTTTTATTTTTCTCTCACCCATGTTGCTGGCGTCCGGCGGCGCCAGCCCTGCGGGCGGTCCTGCGGATAGATCCGCACGGTGCCTGGGCCGTCGCGGCTTTGTGCAGCGTTCCCGCGCGCGAGAGGGGCGGGGCGGCGCGGTGCCCGAGGGGTAGCGCTCTCTTTGCCGGGGCTCTGGGGCCCGCGGCCGGCGGGACGGCCTGTCGGCGCCTGGCACCTCTGCCGCCTTCGTCAGGACGAGCGCGGACAGAATGACTCATTTTAAAGATCCAGGTCCGCGCGTCTGGCACCGGCTCCTATGCCCTGCCCTGCGGGGATTTCGAATTTGACAGCTCCTTGGGTCCTGGCGCAGAGAGGGTGTGTCTGCGAATCTCAGGGCTGGAAGGCAGGCGAGGAGAGTTTTTAGATCGGTCCCCGGCATCTCCAACCCGCCCTCCCCCTTCCCGAAGAGTTTTCTTTTAAGATCCAGTTGTATTAAGTGTTTAGGTTTTGTGGGATTTTTTTTTTTTAAACCTCCTGGTGTTTTTGCCCTTCACCTAGTGACTGGGGAAAAAAAATCATGAATTTCTCAGGATGCCATCTGTTCGGTTTCCAACCTGTAGGCTTCAGTTTGTAAGCCACTTGTAGTGTTTTCGTTTGTTGTAGTCAGCTGACTGGGACAGCTGGGACGAGCTCTCTCCCAGAGCTCAGAAGAGCTCATTCTTGGGGAAACCACCTCTGATGTGTGATAGATTTGAAGTTGTTTCTCTGTTGGTCCTTTTAGTCTAGAGATGTTTAGTTGTGTAAGTTTCAAGGGGTGAAAAGTGGAAGTAGGAATGCAAAATATTAAATAGAATTATTTGTCAAAATATGTAAGGTGGATATTATTATTCTTTTAAGCCATTGAACAATTTGGCCAGTTTCCCCCTGCTTTTTTACAGTTCTTTTTTTTAAAGTGACCATTTGGTCAAGATATAAATTGACCATTTGGTTAATCGCTATTTAAACTATGCTGTTTAATTGTTTTCTTGTCTGATTGATTAAACATGGTCACAAAATAGACACAATGGAATAGTAGATGTTATTATAATTTGGGATTTGGGGAGTTGGATCAACTTAATTTATTTTTCAGTTTTACAGTTCCAGTTTAAGGCCATTAAGCTTATGTTTTCATATCCCTTTCCAGGAGAACATGTTTGTTTCTTTGTGGGAGTTTTTCTATGGACACCTTTTCCGATTTTGGATGAAATGGGTCTTACGGCAGATGACTGGAAAGTGTGAATTGCAGCGGATTTTTGACACCTATAGAGGTGCACAGAGGACCTACAGGATAGGTAATGTTATTCAAAATCAAACACTTCAAGATTAATTAAAACATAATTGAATTCTTTCTGCCTACCCTGTGGTAATGTGTTTTGAGTAAGTCACTGCATCTGAGTTTCTTAAGCTTTGTGCACTTTAAGCCCTTTTCACCCCCCTGCTGACTGTTGAGCATTGAATAATTGTATATAAAAAGAAACTTCTTAGAACATCTCATGTTTCCAAAGAATGAACCTTTTGGGTGTCTTAAAAATGTATCAGTTATTCTTCAGATTATAGTTGCAGTTGTTTACTAGGAAATTATTCTCTCTTCTGTTGGAAAATTTTACACAAATATAATGAAAAGATTGGAAGAATCAGTAGCCGTTTTCCTACTTTGCCTCATTCATCAGTCTTCTCACTCCTTGCTCTTATTTCTTAATGGACAGACTACTTATTGGTAGGAAAAATTATTAGAGCCTGCTTGGTCTAGGCTCATGTTGATAGCCACATGGTTATTGACCTCTTACCTAGTCCAGGCTGGTAGTGATAGCCACATGGTTATTAACTTTTGAAGTGTGAAGATGTCAACTGAGTTATGCTGTACCTGTAAGATACACACTGGATCTCAAAGTTTTTATATGAAAAACGTGTAAAGATGTCTGATAATTGTATTTGTAATACATTGAAGAGATGCTATTATAACCTATTAAGTTGTAGTAATGCAAATTGCATGTATTTCTTTTTAATTTAATGTAGCTATGGAAGTTTTTATGGTATACATGGGGCTCAGTTTGGCTTGTGTTATATTTCCCCCAAATGACAGTTTTACTGAAAATATTGTTCTGACTTCAAACTCAGATGGTTGAGAACTGTGCTTTGAAGTCCCTGTAGGCATAGTAAAAAAGACCTGGTTAGAGCCACAGCTCACGATGCTGTGTTAAGTGGGAAATTGAGAATTAACCAGCTCCTATTTTATGTTGATTAAGAATGAGGAATTGATGCCTTTAAGCCAAGGGAGTAAGGTTTGGACAGTATCCAGAACAACGGTGGAAGAATGGCAGAAGTATCTTGTGGCCAGTGGCTGGGTGAAGCGTAATGCACACTCTGATTCCCACTCTCCTGCCTGCTCAGAAGAACCAAGTGCCTCTTACAGATCTGCGGGCTGTGCTGGTTGGCACGTCACAGTATATGGGCAAAGAGCATATTCAAGGCTTAACTTTGAGATAAAGGCATTTTCTTACAATTTTTGAAAGCAGAGCATTCTTAGTGTACCAGAAACTTTAAAAAACAACAACAACAACAAACCCAATACAGATTTTGTCATTCTTGGGTTGGAGCCAGGGATGCAGAGAGGGTTCACTCTTTGCCTAGTAAGGGGAGAGTTGGCCAGGCAGTCTGGCCTTTGCTCCTTTGTCCCTGGGCTGTGAATTTCTGGCCCCTCTCTTGTGCTGACAATGAAGAGAGTGTAGTAGAGAACATAGTCTTCAGATGGGTTCCTGATAGCTGAGCTGCTAGTAAACACTGTCTAGCTGTCTGCAGAGAAACAGAACATTCTGGGGAAATGAGATTGCTACTAGCTTTGTACTGTGTTTAGGGGGAGATCATTCTACCTTCTTTAACCTGTAAGAATCTGAGATGACTGCTCTGTTCTCCATGGGGAAATTGTACCTAACCTGTGAATAATCATTGCTATTATATTTTTACTATTTGAATTTGGGCTAATTCAGAAAATGTGTTCAAGTGGTAACTTTTTTTTTTTTTTATTTCAGAAAATTCCTTGACATATTCCAAGAATAAGGTAAGGGCACATTAAAGTGCTAATTCTAGAAAACGTAATCTAAGCTTATTTTTTTAAAAGCACTTTGATTTCAGGATTATGTTTACTATCTACACGTGAGTTAAATTTTTTTATTTTAGAAGTTGTAATTCTGTTTTTAAAACACTTTCTGTTTTGATGAGCAAAAGAGTATTTCAACCCCGTCTCCTATTCTGAGGTTTTACCTGGTTATTTTGAGGTAGCTTTGGTAGCTTTTGGGGACTAGTATCTTAGGGAAAGCATTCCTGAGAACTGTGTCCACAGGGTAGGTGTGTGAGCAAAGCAATTTTTCATTGAAAGTGAGTTCCAGCATATAGTAGTCAGCTCTTGCTGGGTAAGAAACAAGCACAAATCTCAGGAGCAGAAAGCAGTGTTACTGTGGCCCATGCACCTGTGGGTCAGCTGCAGAGGCCCTTTATCAAGTTGGTGCCATGTTCCCATGTCTGGTCCACTCCTCCTGCTGTAGGTTACAGGTGTGGGATTCAGTGGGCAGTGAGGGAGTGGTCTTATAGTCACTGGAGGCCTAACGGACTCTGTTGTCTCCATTTACATCCTTGGGTTTAAATGAGTGGCCACATGTTAGGCAAAGGGCACTCAAATGCATTCTGTATACCCTAATGCCACAGCAGGCAAGAAGGCAAGAGGTTATATAACTGACTTGCAGGGGATGGAAAGTCAGGGCCAGTATGCCAGTCTACAATGTGTTAGCCACAGCCCTTGCTATGTGTTAAGTGGAAAAATCAAGAATTAACCAGCTATAATTAACTGTAAGGTCACAGTGTTTTTTTGTATAAGAATTACTGGTGTAAATTATTTTGTGACAATTTTAGTTATTTGTGTGTGCATCTGTGTTTTAGATATCCATATACATGTTTGCACTTGGTTGTAATGTAAAGTATGAATCATAATAAAAAATGTGGACATAATTCTGTCTGCTAGTGTTGATAAGAGTTGTTGACTCAGCCTGGAATCAGAAGGGTTCTGCAGGCCAATATACTTTGTTTTGGAGAGTAACCTCTATAATGGGTGCTTGGTAGTTTAGGTACAGTCTTTCATTCACAGGTTATCTGGGTGGGAATAATGCACACCTACCCAGATGAACACTGGGGAGGGTACAGAGTTGTCTTTTGTTCAGAAACCTAAAGTGTGATTTTTTTCATGAGAATATGGCATCTGAAACTTTGACAGTTTCTACTGTAATTCTTGTTTAATTTGCACACAGACATGTAGTCCTGTCTTTGAAACGTAGCAGGCAGATCCCCACAGCAACCTTGTGAACTGTAGGGACCTGCTTGGATGCATTTTATTTCAGAACTCAAACTCAGCAACCCCAGCATCCTCTGGAAGCTTGTTGGAGTGTAGACACCAAGCCCCACCCCAGAAGTCCTGATTCTATTTCTGGAGTGTTGGTTCCCCATTGACATTTTTGTCCTGCAGGTCAGGACATTTACATGTCCCTCCTCTGCTTGGAGGGACAGCCCTATATCCTGACTGCTCCCACTCTTTCTGTAAGAAGCCATGTGTACTCCACACAGACAGACTGATAGATGCAAAGAAAGTTGTGTTTGTTTGTGTCATAAACCTGGGAATATTTGAGAATGAATTGTCCTCTGACAGGTGCTTTCTTGTGGCCTGGAAAGCACCTTGTAGAAGTATAATAGTTTCTCCTGCCACACTCACAGACCCAGCATTTTGCCCTCAGCATTTGAGGAGTGTGCCTTCTCTAAGGCTTTGAAATCTGCCTGCAACACTGTCAGTGCTGTGCCCTGGAGCAGCCCCTGCCCCTGCATTGCCTACTGTTGTATCTAGCACTATGGTCTTGGTCAGAGCCATCACTACTGTGCTGCTGCTCCAAACCAAAGTGCCGTTGCCATTGGCCCATGGGCTGCTAGAGCAGTATTGATGTTCCCAGTAAGAGCTTAAGTCACCCAGCTCTAGTCTCATTCAGTTCTGACCTCGTGAGCACTCTGAACATTCTTTACTTGGAATTATAGCTTTCAACCTCCCTGTCTTTTTGTCTTCCTTGTTTTATGGTATTTTACTTTTTTATTTCTTCATTCTCTCCTGCCCCAAAGAAACAAAACAAAGCATAGTAGTTTGTGGTTTATGTTAGTATCCCTAGAGCCCGCACCACCTCCTGGCATGTAACAGTGCCCTGTGTGTAAAGAAGACACAGATGGATGCCTTGGAAGTTCAGAGTCCCCTTCTCCACATGGAGTGTGTGGTTCTTGCTTCCCTCACTAGCTCTGGTGGAGAAGGAACAGAATCTGAACTCAGCACCTGCACAGCAGCAGAATGAGGACTCAGGATTTATTAGTGAGATTTTATGTGTGGAATAATTAAGCTAAATGTAAGTAGGGCAGGAGGTCAGATGTTGGTGAAATCTCAATAAGGATTTTATGGCTACTATATGTTCAGCATTCTAGCAGGGTCTTAAGTATTTGCAAAAGAGGTAAAGTTGATGATGGATAGTTATCAATAAGAAGCAAAGAATGAAACAGAAAAGGAAGGGCTGACCAGCTTAGCTTAGTGGTTCTCAAACTTCCTAATGCTGTGATGCTTTGATGCAGTTCCTAATGTGGTGGTGACCCCAACTGTAAAGTGATTCTCATGGCTACTTCATGACTGTAACTTTGCTACTATTGTGAATCATAATGTAAATGTCTGTTGGCAGGATATCTGCTAATGTGACCTGTTTGGTTCCCAAAAGGGTTGCGACCCACAGGTTGAGAACCACTATCTGAGAGTGTTTACTAGCTATTTAAAAATCTCACAAAATGTAAATGTTAAAGTCGTAGTCTGAGGATGTCACCGTCAAAACAGCAAAATGTTGATGTGTTTTTAAGAATACTGTAGCTAACAGTGAATAAAGACTACGTTAAGTCATAGCTGTTTTGTTGTCGTGAAGCCTGGAATTGAAGCAACTGTCGTTACATAGAGATGAACTTGTCAATTTAAACAAGCAGTTTGTGCATGTCTTGCATATTTATTCCAAGAGAAAATTCTAATTCTTATCTTGTGGTGTTTCCATTGATTACCTTTGCACTTTATTACATGAAAAGAAATCTGGACAAAAATTCTGATTTTATTGCTTCTTACTTATTTGACTTTGTGCAAGTTGCTTGTTCTCTCATCAATACATGTATGATGGTTTAGGACTAGAGATGTTACTATGAAGGCAGCATAAGAGAATGCATGTTGATATTAGTGATAATGAAATTAAGCCAGTGAACACAACAAGAATTTGAGAGAATTAAAGCATCCACAAACCCTCTCATTTAAATACGTTGCATTTCCAGTGATTGCTATGCATAACAGCAATTTTAATCCATTAAGGCTTATCCCTGACGTCTGTCTCAAAGTGTGGTTATGTTGGGTTGTAAATGTGTACAGATGAAGCTCCTTCAATATTTAAAAATAAGTCTCACTCAATTACAAACTAGGGACTGCTTATACATTACGTCCTATGATTACTAAAAGGAGAAAATCTTCCGTATCTGGAGTATAAACAGTACAGTAATGCTTTGGGTCAGAGAAGAATTGTTGAGAAACAGAGAAAGAAATTGAACTGAAAACAGCGTATCAACATTTGCTTAGGTCACCAAAGCAAAATTTTAAAAGCATAGACCAATGATCTGTGTTTGTATCTTCAGAAACCTGGAAAGAAACAAAGGCCAAAGTAAGTTAAAGAAGTTATAAAATAAGGCAGAAAATTAATGAAATAGTAAAACAGGCAAGAGTGAACAATACCGATAAACTCCGAAGCCAGTTCTTTAAAAAGATAATAATATCAATACCTGTAGCAGCTGATCACATATAAGAGAAAACCAAGATTTCCAGTATGAAGAAAGGCAGGACATAAGTCAGCGCAGCCTAGAGTTAGCAGTTCTGTAAGCAGTGTCATGCTGGCAGATCCTGTAGCTTATGTGAAATGGGAAAAGTTCGTGGAAAGCACAGTTTATGAAAATTAACTAATATGGAAATAAACAAATCTAGGTTGCCATTATTCAAGAAAAGAAATGAAATCTCTAAATTGTTTACAAAAATAGCCAGCATTGGCTTAATTAACTTTCTTTAAAAAGATGTTTGAGCCTTCGTATTTGTGTTTTATGAGTGTTTACCTGTGCACATGTCTGTGCACTGTGTGCATGCTTGGTGCCCACAGAGGTGAACTCCAGCCTGGAGCTGGAGTTTCAGGGGGTGTAAGCCGTCACGTAGCTGATGGGAAGCGACCCCAGGTCTTGAGCAAGAGAAGCCAGTGCTCTTTACCATTGAGCCACTCTCCAGCCTGGCTTAAGTAATTCTTACCAAGCATTTACGGAAAAAGAACCAGTGCCACTGTTAACAGAAAGTCCTGAGAAATAGAGGTGGGAGAAATTTTGTTGTTGTTTGTTTGTTCAGGACACGGTTTCTCTTTGTAGCTAGCCTGAACTCAATTCGAACTCATACAGATCCACTTGTCTCTGCCTCCTGAGTGCTGGGATTAAAGGCTACCATGCTTGGCTTTTTTTTTTTTTTTTGTTTGTTTGAGGACAGATTAAAACTAAAGACATATAAATGAAAAGTACAACTCAGCACCCTTTATGAATGTGATACAAGACTCCTTGCCAAAACATCAGCAAACTGATCCTAGTAACATAAAAATTATACACTCATAATATATTATGAATTATGAGTGTATAATTTATTACATTAACAGAATCAGAAAAATGTGATTATTTTGATAGATACTGAAAAATCTGCTCATGTTTAAAAACTCTCTTCCAAATAGAAAAGCAGAACCTCCCTTGATTCCTTAAAGGCCACTCTAGATAATCTGCAGCTGGCATGACAGAAAACATTTCAATATTGAATGTTTTGCACATTTACTTGGGAGCATGACAAATATGTTTAGTTTTTCTGCTTCTATTTAGCATTGTACTGGAAATCCTGGGACCACAGTAAGCCAGAAAAAATTCTAAGACATGGTTGGGCAGAAAGAACTGTCTTGATGAACACAGATGTAGTCTGAAGATGTAGATAGCCCTGAGGTCCCCAGAGGCTGTTTGTGTGTATTAATAAGGGAACTAAACAGTCTGGTGGAGGGTTCCCCTTTCTCCACAACCTCTCCAGCATGTGTTGTCACTTGAGTTTTTGATCTTAGCCATTCTGATGGGTGTAAGGTGAAATATCAAGGGTCATTTTGATTTGCATCTCCCTGATGACTAAGGACATTGAACATTTCTTTAAGTGTTTCTCTGCCATTCCATATTCCTCTATTGAGAATTCTCTGTTTAGCTCTGTACCCCATTTTTAAATTGGATTACTTGATTTGTTGCTGTTTAACTTCTTGAGTTCTTTATATATACTGGATATTAGCCCTCTGTCAGATATAGGGTTGGTGAAGATCCTTTCCCAATCTGTAGGCAGTTGTTTTGTTTTGATGACAGTGTCCTTTGCTTTACTGAAGCTTTTCAGTTTCATGAGGTCCCATTTATTGATTGTTGATCTTAGAGCCTGTGCTGTTGGTGTTCTTTTCAGGAAGTTGTCTCCTGTGCCAGTGAGTTCTAGGCTCTTCCTCTGCACTACCTGTGGGAATGTAAACTTTTATATAACCACTTTGGAAATCAATCTGGTGCTTTCTCAGACAATTAGGAATAGTGCTTCCTCAAGATCCAGCTATACCACTGCTAGGCATATATCCAAAAGACGCTCAAGTATACAACAAGGACATCTGCTCAACCATGTTTGTAGCAGCTTTATTTGTAATAGCCAGAAGCTGGAAACAGTCCAGATCCCCTCAGTTGAGGAATGGTACAGAAATTGTGGTATATCTACACAATGGAATATTACTCAGTGATAACAAACAAGGAAATCATGAAATTTTCAGGTAAATGGTGGGATCTGGAAAAGATCATCCTGAGTGAGCTATCCCAGAAGCAGATAGGGTATATACTCACAGGGTATATACTCAGGGTATATACTCACTCATAAGTGGATACTAGACATATAATATAGGATAAACATACTAAAATCTGTACACCTAAGGAAGCTAATCAGGAAGAAGGACTCTGGCTAAGATGCTCTATCCCCATTCAGAAAGGCAAAGAAGATGGACATCAGAAGAGGGAGAACAGGATGGGAGCCTACCACAGAGGGCCTCTGAAAGACTCTACCCTGCCTGGTATCAAGGCAGATGTTGAGACTCATAGCCAAACTTTGGGCAGAGTACAGGGAATCTTATAAAAGAAGTGGTAGATAGTAAGACCTGGAGAGGACAGGAGCTCCACAAGGACAGCGACAGATCCTAAAAGTCTGGACACAGGGGTCTTTTCTGAAACTGATATTCCAGCCAAGGACCACTCATGGAGATGGCCTGGAACCCCTGCACAGAGGTGCCTATGGCAGTTCAGTATCCAAGTGGCCTCCATAGTAATGGGGACAGAGACTGTCTCTGACATGAACTGATTGGCCTGCTCTTTGATCACCTCCCCCTGAGGGGGGAGCAGCCTTAGCAGGCCACTTAAGAAGACAATGCAGCCACTCCTGATGAGACCTGATAGACTAGGGTCAGAGGGAAAGGGAGGAGGACCTCCCTTTTCAGTGGACTGGGAGAGGGACATGGGTGGGACAGAGGGAGGGTGGGATTGGGAGAGGATGAGGGAGGGAGGTACAGGGGGGATACAAAGTGAATAAACTGTAATTAATAAAAATAAAAATAATTAATACAAAAAAAAAACCAGTCTGGCACCAGGTAGGTCACTTCTGACTTGTGTTACCAATAAATTTTTACATTATGAAAGGGCAGCGCCACCCACCTCAGCAGCCAGAAGTGCAAAACTCCCAGGGAGTTTTAGTGAGACAGGAAATCTTCAGCCCTAAAATTTACGGAGGAATTTTTGAGAACAAAATAAAATGAAATTTGATACCCATCAATTATAAAACTCATTAAAATGTTAATTCCAAAGTTGACCTATGAATTTGTGAAGTTTTTCTTTTCTTTTTTGGTTTTTTGAGACAGGGTTTCTCTATGTAGCCTTGGCTCTCCTGGACTTGCTTTGTAGACCAGGCTGGCCTCGAACTTGAAGTGATCTGCCTGTTTCTGCCTCCCGAGCTCGGGGATCAAAGGCGTGTTCCACCATGCGCAGGTGAATTTGTGATTTTTTAATCAAAATTTCACTGATTATGTTTTGAAGACACTGACAAGCTTATCTGCAAAGTTATGCTAAAATACAAGGAGAGGACTGGGATAGTTCAAATGGTTTTCTAAGAGAGATGAGTTAAAGTACACAAGATTTCCTAGACAGCTAGAGGACATTATCACATAGGCCAGAAACAGGTGGACCAGAAAGATAACCTTCATAATGTGTTGACCCAGTACATTGTGGGAAGAGAAGCTGTCAGCAAGGGGCGGTAGAGAATGAGGTAGGGGAGGGACGGGCTGAATGGGGACCGAAAGACAGCCCTTAGAGCCTGCTGCTACTCCTCTTTTAAACATAGTTTTAAATTTTTAACGTCTTTTTTTTTTTTACAATTTCATAGATATATACAGTGTTTTGTGACCATATTCTCCTCCTGGCATGTTGACCTCCTTTCTAAGCCCCCTTCCGCTTCCATGACTCCATTATTTATTTGTTTTTCACCCACTGAGTTTAGTTAGGGTTGCTTTTAGGAGTGTGGATAGGAGGCTTTTAGAAAACCACAAATACATACATGATTCCAACTCTCAGATCCGAAGTAAACGTGATTTCTTTTTGCATTTTACTATCTTCTTTGTAAAGTTGATCAAATGCCTCAAAACAGACTTCTGTATCAACTCTCAGGGACTCCTCTTATTCTGCTGTATCTCCATAACTAGGTCCTACAGAATGCAACTCGATCTGCCGAGAGCGAACTGGACAGATATGTAGTGGACATAATGAAGGAAAAGAACATCTGCCCCGAGAAAGACACCAGGTGTGCCGCTCCCTCTGACTGTGACTGTAGCCTGCTGCGAAGAGCCCTGTGCATGGACGGTGGTGGGGAAGGCTTGTGGGTGATGCAGCCCAGCCCTGCCACCCTGGGGGCATTGAGGTCCACACCGCAAGGCCCTCCCACTCAGTCCTGTGCTGTTACTCCCTGAGGTTAAATAACTTTGGCAACTGCCGTACTGTTCTTCTAATTGTGGTGTCTGTGTTCTCTTAAAGCCAGCTCCTCCCCTAACCCTCCAGTGTATGTCCCATGTTCTTCGAGTCCTTAGGCCTCTCTCTGCCCTTCATGAACAGGCTACACTGTGGCTGTCTGTTGGTCTGTATGGAGGCAGTGTCCTCTTGTCCGACAAGAGTCACCAAGTAGCCAGCTAGACAGATGATAGGCACACTGAAGAGCAATGGTGCAGAAAAGTCCAGATGTTTTCAGTGTTGTGATGAGCGACATCAGAACATACCTACGTAAGGGAGGTGGAAGGTGGCTTTGGGGATGTGACAGCAGTTAGGAAATGAACCCTTGGGGTAAGAGGCATCACCACAACCCCAGTAGGTTGGTCTGAGGGGCATTGTATAGACAAGGTGGGGCTTGAAGGTCTCCTAAAATGTTAATGGACTGGAATTTGAAGTGCTCTGGTGTGGGAGCTATAGGTTGGTGTGTGGGTTACCAGCGGAGAGCCAGTATAAAAAGCATGTTGCTCCAGGGAAAGAAAGCTACTCTATTTGGAGAAATAAAGATAACTTGTCATAGTTATTTTGTATACACCTCAATTATTAGAGATGTTGCTATGTGGCAGTAAAGATCTAGGGATGTACCCCCCCACCCCCTCTGCTAGGCCACAGAGGAGGACAATGCAGCCAGTCCTGAAGAGACCTGGTAAGCTAGGGTCAGATGGAAGGGGAGGAGCACCTCCCCTATCAGTGGACTTAGAGAGGGGCAGGGAGGATACAAGGGAGGGAGGGCGGGATTGGGAGGGATTGAGGGAGAGGGCTACAGCTGGGATACAAAGTTAGTAAACTGTAACTAATATAAAAAAATAAATAATTTAAGTAAATATGCTTTAAAAAAAGATTTGGAGATGTGTGGATAGCTCAGAGAACACATGTGAAAGAGTTCTTGGAGTCAATCCCGTGTTGAGGCCCTGTTTTATCATAGTCCTGAGTGAGGCTCTGCATGGCCTTTGGTGCATCTTGTATTAAACTGAAAACCAAGAGCACTTCCTAAATAGATGCATGAACCACAGGCTTTGCTTTATTGTGATAAATCTTGAGGTTTTTTTAAATTTAAATTTATTTTTTATAATTGATTGACTTTACATTCCAATTTTAGTCCCCTTTCTCATCTCCTCTGGTCCCTCCTTCCCTCCCTCTTCCCCCCCCCCCCCCCATTCTCCTCTTCTATTTCTCAGAAAGGGAGAGCTCTCCTCCACTACCATCTGACCCCAGCCTATCAGGTCTTATTAGGATTACTTATATTCTCTTCCTCTGTGGCCTGGCAAGGCTCCCCACGAGGGGGAAATGGTCAAAGAACTGGCAACAGAATTCATGTCAAAGACAGCCTCCAGGGGGCTACAGCTGGGATACAAAGTGAATAAACTATAATTAATATAAAAATAAAAATTTAATAAAAAAAAAAAGATAGCCTCTGTGCTCCCCTTACTCCCCACATGGAGACTGAGCTGCTTATGGGCTACATCTGAGCAGGGGTCTAGGTCCTCTTCATGCATGGTCCTTGGTTGGTACATCAATCTCTGCAGACCCCATGGGCCCAGATTTGTTGGCTCTGTTGGTCTCCTTATGGTGTTCATGTCCCTTTTGGGTCCTTCTATACCCCACTCTCTCCTATAGCTCAGCTGTTAAAGGCTAGGCTCACAACCAAAATATAAGAGGTCTGATTTAAACTAATAATTTTATTCTTTCAGCTTTCAAATCTGCATGAGGACATGCTTACTGCAGATAACTGGCTACAAACAGCTCTATCAGGATGTAGAAAATGTGAGGAAAAAACCCTATGATTCTGCAAATGCTCAGCATGAGAAACTGCTCCTCAAGGTAATCGCTGGCTCAGGGCTGTGCAAGCTTTGTGCATTCTCCAGGCTCTTGTCCACACATTTGTTTACCTCTTGGAGGCTTGGAGACTTTGTGTTAGTTTTCGTTGATAGGGAAAGATAGTTGATCAACAACTTTTACTTGATAAATATCTATAAAAATATATTTAAGTAAAATTTGAATGCATTTTATTCTGAGATAAGTTATCCATTCACAAAAGGGTTCTCTTTAGCCTCAAAGCATGGGCACATAAGCCTCAGAGCCTCTGTTTATCTAACTTGCTTGTGAAGAGTTGGCTTTCCCTCAGCAACACTGAAGCTGTAAAAATAGAAGTCCCTTTGCACAGCATTGTGTCACTTCTGAGACCAGAAGAGCATCAGCTAGCAAATACTGCAATTGTGAGCTCTCACAGTCAGGAAGGAGAGAGAACGTTCTTTCCTGTTTCTTTGGTGTTAAGTGTGTGAGGGTGATAGTGGCACCGATATCTGAAGGCTGAGGCCTAGAGAAAGTGCTGTAGACTGTCCAGTGTGGTCCTTCATTTGGGAAAAAGGATTTCAAGGCCCTGGGGGAGATGGTCTTGACTTGCTTTGGGTGATAATGCACTACAGCTGGGAGAGAACTGCTTCCTGCTCATCTTCTGTCCCAGTTCACACATGGTCAGGAGCAGTAAAGGGGAGGTTTTGAAATCTTTCTTTCTTTGCTTCTTCCTTCCTTTTCTTTTTTCCTTCTTTCTTTTATTTTTTTTATTATTAAAGATTAAGCACCTGGCATTACAGCAGAGCCTATTCAAGACTAATATGGGTCCATTTATCCAAGACTGCTCTTTGCAAACAATTTAGTTCTAATATGCATATATTGATTAGTAAACACAGATAGGTCATTGCTCTAGATTTCTGTGTTTTTTGCTTAAAAAAATGATTCTTCACAATAGTCATTCTGGTTGGAATAGATATACTATGTATTTATGTTTTAAATACAGTCCTTGTTGGTCTTAGAATGTGCCTATAAAAGTAGTTGAACTGAAAGTATTCAACTATGAGTTAGATAAATTAAGAAAAGGAAATGTCCCAATAAACCAAGAACATCACTATTATTTGTAACACAAAAGCATGTTTGTGCAGCTTTGGAGTCTTCTGATGCCCACGAAAAAGTTGAAGTCCCGAATCTCCAAGCAGTGGGCAGACATTGGTTTCCAAGGTGATGACCCCAAAACAGATTTCAGAGGCATGGGCATGCTCGGATTAATCAACCTTGTGTAAGTGAAAATAAATTTTCTCTCCTTGGCTGAATGAAATTCTGTGTTTTGTTCAGTCTATTTTAATTCTAATAAGAATTGACCCTATTGCTTCATATTGACTTTAAGTTTTATTAGCTGTAGTGTGTATGTTTGCTAGTGTGCTGGCAACAATGTGAAGACATTGTACACGCGTGTGTGTGCGTACCTGTGCACGTGAGATGCGCACAAGCATTTGTCTTGTCTCTGTATGTGTGCACCTGTGTGTGCATGTCCATCATTGTGTGTCCCTGATGGCTTACCAGGGTTTGCAGTGCTATCCCCTCCTTGTTCTTTCCAGCCTCACTTCTGACACGTGCTTAAGAGCCATGAACACTTCCGGGTTTGCCCTCTTGTTCTACTGTGTGGGCTCTGATTGCTTTTGGGAAAACAGAACCAGGTTAGGTGACATGCTTCTCACTAGCTCACTAGCAGTTATGCTGAACCCTGACTTATCATGGCTATAACAACTTGCCTTTTCCCTTAGCACTTAGGCAGCATGCATGAAATCCCAAAACATGCAATATAAGTCACAACTGATACTCAGCATGGTTCTAGTGAGAAGAGTGAGTTCTTATATCAGTGGTTCTCAACTGCGGGTCATGATACCTTTGGGGGTACATATCAGATGCTTAAGTTATAATTCATAGCAATAGCAAATTTACAGTTATGAAGTAGCAATGAAATAATTTTATTACTGCAGTCGCAGCATTAGGAAGGTTGAGAACCACTGTCCTACCTAGATACTCAGGTTTTTAGACTACAGTGTTTTGAGTTCCATCTGTGGATTGTGGCCTACAGATTATAAACAGTGTTGAGAATGGGAAGCTAATACTTTCTTTGGATAATTCTTACTGTGAAAAAAATATCAGAAATTGAATTAAACTAAGTTAATACTGAGAAAAATATTTAGGTCAATATGGATAAAGCTTTTGGGGGAAAGGATATGCCATAATGAGATTTCAAGATCTATGCTTTTTTAAATTATAAAAGCATATATGCTTGGTAATGCCTAAAATCTTATAAGTTCTATATAATTCTGCTTCCTGAAGATAAATCACACAGTAATCTTTAAAGAACTTAAGTGATTTCCCTGACTCCATCAGAAGAGGGTCTCCCTGAGCCTGGGGTTTAAGGAATTTAATGGAGTTTGACTCTAGCCTGTGCCGAGGGGTCTTGCTGGACCTTCTAAACAAAGTGCAGCTTCTTTACCATATTTAGAGCCCTGGCTGATGTGAAGATGGCTGGGATCCATGTACTTTAGCAGTGGGTTAGAAGTGCACACTGCAGCTGTTACAGAGAGAGCACAGTGAAGGAAGGTGGCCCAGCAGCTGCGCTTACAGTGTGTACAAGGATGAGAATTAGCAGGTTACAAAACAAGAACTCAGAATGTTTCTCCTTTTGTAAGCAAATAGGAATTCCCTTTGTAGATGATTTCTCTGCTAAAATGGTCTTGTCTAGAACCAGTCTACCTGTGTTCCTTATTTGATAGGCTTGATTCCTTAGGATTAAATTTGGACCCAGGAGTCTTTGTGAGCCATTGAGTGACTTGAGATGGAGATGGAGTGGCTGTGGCAGCGAGGGCCGTCGTTCTAACAGTAGCAGCTGCTTGCTCTGAAGTGTTAACCTATTTGCGGGTGGAACATTTTCATTTCATCATTCTCCTTGAACTTGTTTAGGTATTTCAGTGAAAATTACACCAGCGAAGCGCATCAGATTCTTTCCCGTTCAAATCACCCCAAATTAGGGTAAGCTGGGCGAACATTAAAAAAGCTAGACTCTTGCAATGAAAATGACTATTTAAAAATGTATCGTAAAATGATGTTATTTTAATGAGTGAGACTGTAGAAAGGGTATTATAAACTATATTAAAGATCATAAATGTTCTGTGTATTCCAGTAAGTTTTATCACATGGCATTATAAAACAACGATAAGGGCTCATATTTTTTTTCCAGAACTATTTCAGAGGAGTAGAAACTAACACTGAAATAGGAAAATCAGACTTAGCTTTGAAAATGGTGAAGGAAATGCAAATTGAGGCCTTGTTATTAGCTTTCTATTGCTTTATACATAATAGCTAGAGCAATAAGGCTTGGTAATGTGGATGTCCCTCTATTGTTTTTAGATATCACAGGGACAGAACTTTTATTTTTACCTCTATCTAGAAAAATAACAGCCTTCAAAAACCAAACCCTTTGATTATCCTGATCAAAGCTGAGGTATAGAGAGGTTCCCGCAAAGTGAGTCCTGTGTCAGGAGAGCAGCAGTGGCAGTTTGGGTGAACTGGGAAGCTCCTGTGCACTATAAGTTTCTGTTTTGAGCTGCTGGCTAGCTGTGTAACTGGTGGTGTTTCTGATGTAGGTATTCTTATGCAATAGTTGGAATCAATCTTACAGAGATGGCTTACAGCTTGCTGAAGAGCGAGGCTCTGAAGCTTCACCTCTACAACTTTGTCCCTGGGATTCCCACCATGGAGCACTTTCACCAGTTTTACTGTGAGTATCAGACCTGACCAAGAACATTGCCGACTCTCAACAAGGCCAAACATATAGTTTTAACGTAATGCCTATGATGTACATAGCAGTAAGTCTATGCTCATCATCTGATTGTTTGAGATATTTGCTGTCCAGGAGAATATGGAAGCCAATCTCCAAGTGCTCTTCATACTTTACTTTCTGTATTTGAATTCAGGTTGTCCTGTTTCCATGACAAGTAGCCCTATCCACCCAGCCCAAGATGGATGTGTATTTTCTGAAGATGAGATAGTCTAAATATGATTTTTTCCCCCTGTGGACAACATGTTTCTATGTTTTTTAATTGCAGGTTACCTTGTCTATGAATTTGACAAGTTTTGGCTTAAAGAAGAACCAGAAAGCATTATGCACTTCAACCTGTACAGAGAGAAGTTTCATGAGAGGATTAAAGGACTCTTAATGGATTACAATGCTGTGCTCACTTTGAAAACATGAACCGTCCGTAGCATCTTCTCTTTCTACCATGTTTTGCACACACAGCAGAATTTATATGTTATTATAGAAATTATCTGATCAACTACACTCGTATATATAATTTCATACAAAAAAATGCTTCAGAAACGCTATTTAAGAAAGCTGGTGGACAATCAGTGTATGTTTACAGTTGTTTATACGCTGGTCTCCAAGGTCCCTGACCCTTCCAAAGAGCTCTTCCGGAGTCACACAAACTACAGTTTGGAACTTGGGACTTAGCCTGTTAGTTTAAAAATATAAATCAGGTATATTTATATCTAGCCAGTTGACTAAAATGTGCATGAATCTGTTCTTTTTTTGTGTGTGTTGTAGCTCTCAAGGTGGTGTCATTTTCAAAACTTCAGGTTTATCATTCATTCTGGAAAGGCTTTTGAATGCGCTTTGTCTTTTTATTTGTAGGCAGATTGGTACCAGGTGTCCTCTGAGGCTTTTCTGCATTTCCAGCTGTCAAAATGTCCTGTCCTTAGAGCAGAGAGCATGGCTCTGTCAAAGAGGGGGAAAATCATGCCTTCCCTTTTGATTTCTCTGATGACTGAACATAACAGAAAATGAGAGAAGTCATTGTTGATGACTAGCTTTTTATTTATAAATAACATACTTTGGAGGTCTAGGCATTTCCTCTTGCTTGGTATTTGCTTTTATGAGCTATAGAATGAACCTTTCTTCAAGCTCTACTGTGAGGCCCCCTTCCTATGTGTTTCTCTGCTGAGAGAATCCTGATTGCATTCAAAACAGTTTCTTTTAAGATAAAACTGTTTTTGAAATGTAAGAAGAAAACAGCGCTTTTTAAAAAGGTTCCCCATCACTGGTGTGTTTGACCTGCTCTTCACTTTGCTTGCTCTTGCTTTGATGCTGGTGTTTCTAGGTAATCTTGTAGGGACCTGGGTTAACAGGCTGTGGGTACCACCAAGCCTACGTCATGACTGTGCATTTGTATAGCTTTATTGTACCAAATCTCAGGAGGGCAGTAAGTACAGTTGAAGTTCATGCGGGAGGAGATTCTAACGGGATGGTCTCCTCTTGGTGTGTTTTAAGAGGTTTGTTCTCAGAACAAAACTAAAAGAGAAAGGCTATGGACTGTGAGGCACACACGCTCCTTTATTCCTTTGGAAACCAGTTCATAACGTCATAATTTAATCTAAAACATGGTGATGTTTTGCACATCTTTTAATATCAGGTATTTAAAGACTAGCTTGTGTGATAGAGGAAGGTTTGCTACTTTTCCACAATTTGTTGTTGTCTTTTGACAAGCCCCTGCTTTTATACCATCAGAGAGAGAGAGAGAGAGATAAAGAGAGAGAGAGAGAGAGAGAGAGGTGTGGGTATCCCATAAAAGAGGCACAGCTGTAGTGTTGCATAGCATAGCATTACAGTGCATGGGTTAAAAACCTTTTTCCTTAAGGAAGATGAAAATTTTTAGAAAAGTAGTTTACATACTAGAAAGGATGTAGCTTTTTAGTATTATAGGAAGTTAATTGATTTCTTATAGGGGACATGTTAATGCTGGTAATGTATTCATTTAATTTTTGGAAAGTCTTTTGTTGTCCAGGTTTTATGACGAATTGCAGAGCTAAGCCCTAACTAGGAGCACATGTTCACCATTGTCATTTTCCGTGGAAAGCAGAGTGTTAGTCTCTGTTGTGCTAAAAGCACTTACCTTTGTATTGTAATCTTTCAACAGCCTAGCTCTTGGGCTGATTTAACTCTTTATCAGCCCATGTAATAAAAAAAAAAAACAAAACAAAACACTACTTGAAGTATGAGAGAGGAAAAAAAAATAAAAATAATAATAATAATAATAATTCTTTCTCAGCAGAAAACTCTAGTGATTCTAAGAACATATTGTCATAGTTTAGTTAGTGTCACAGTCTTTAAATCCTCCTTTGTTTGCACATTATAAATATTGTTTTTATTAAAATTATCATTAACCATTTCAGATAATTACATATAGCGGAGCTGATTCGTAAGCCAATGACAACTTCAGAGCTCTGATTCTCTGGAAGTTTGACTGTCACTAGTTGTACCTTAAAATGTAACAGAACCTTTTGGCTGATAAGCTGGGCACATGCAGGCAAGGGACAGTACAGTCAATTTACCTTACTTTCAGCAGATGTCAGAACTTCGTGCAGTTTTAAAACCCATGTGTAGATGCTTACCTCTGTCTAGAACTAGTAAAATTACTATGTAGCAATTGATAGTCATGGCATTGAAGTAGCAGGAAAATTATGGGAGTTATAGCATGATTGAAGTAGAGTCAATGGGAGATCAAGTTTTCTGTTTTGAGAGTGAAAAGATTTTACCAGTGGCAAAAGTAGCATAAAAATATAACTGCAACATTTACAGTTCAAATGCTCTGAAAGACAATCTTTTTAAAAACTGGAGACACTGGGTATCACTGAACCTAGACCAGCCTCTTTGTAAATAAGTGTCACAATACAACTAGTTATAAAAATGAATTTAAACTAGCACCATTTACAGTTCATAAATCAGATTTTTTTAAATCCCTGTTTTTTTCTATTTTAGGAGCTACTTGGATTTGTATGTATTTTTCTATGAAAATGTATGCAGTCTTTATTCTTCCTTCAGTGTTGGTCACCATTTTCATATCATTCTGTTCATTGGGAATATTCAGTGAAAGGGATTTTGATGAAAAGTTTTGCTCAAAGAAAAACCATTACTTGGGTATGAAAAGCAGCTGCTCATTTCTGCAGCAGAAGAGGGAATCATGGCATAGAGGACGGAGTTTTGCCCAGGGTGGTGATAGCTTATTCTTGTGATCACGACTGGGGACCAGCCGCTGCATCCTCAGGGTAGGTGCTCTACTTTAATCCCTGAAGAGTCCGCGTCTGGGAGGCTTTGCCCTCGTGGTCCTGTATAGGAGCCTCATCACACAAGCAGCTTTTAATGAAAACGAGGGGGCTTGTTAATACGCTGAGAAAAATCATGACTTGTGTATTTGTTTATCTGTCTCTAGCTTTTGATGAGAAAGAGTTTTTAAATGTAATGTAGGTAGGACCCAGCAACCACATTTACTTTGGCAGGGTAGTTCTATATTTTTGTTAAAGTACTGACAAATATTAAAGCAGTAGTGTTCCCTGGAGGGAAAGTACCTGTTGGCAACTTAAATTTTTGTCTATTTTGTGACAAGCATTTGAGTTTCAGGTAAAAGCAATAGTGTGCGATGTGGTGTCTTTTTGTTTGTGATGTTAAGTGAGAAAATAAAACCATGGCTGAAACTGTTGTAAGCTTTCCTGTGCATACTTGGGCTGCCTTTGGGCTTCCTCCCTGTTTAAGTCATTTAAGTTCATGAGCAGTGCTTACTTATTAAATTACAGGTAAGTTGTAAAACATAGATTTGTGACTTTTAACTCCACTTGTAACTATATAAGATGTTAGTGGATGAGAGTAACTGGTTATGAGATTAGAAATATGCTCTATTTTACAAGAAGCCGCCATTCCATGCAGATTCACTCCATTCCCCAGTTTCTACCAAGGGTAAGCGTGATTCATGCTGCATATTCATCTTTAAAGTGTTTCTCGTTTCTGCTTACATATTAGTACTTGATTTTTATAATCGCATGGCATTCCAGTATATGGTTTCATAGATGTATTTTATTTTGCAATAATAAGCATATATGGAACAATGGATAAAGTTAGAGCAGCACTCATTGGAGTTAATTTTAACTGTAAATGCTTCTAGCAGAAAATATAAAAGATAAAAATGGAAGACAATGTAGCCACCTCAAGCATTTTCATAGAAAGGAACAAAATAAGCGAAAATAGAGAACAAACTGTTAGCGATAAGAGTGTGAACAATAGCTAGATTAGAGACATAGGATTGACCACAGGGCTGGTCCAAGTGTTTCTAGATTCCCGGCATCTTACTCAAGAATGAGATAAAGGTGCACACAGGTTTTAAACATTGCAAGGTAACTTTCTTTAGAGTAGTACTTGGGGGCTCTAGGTTATTGCCCAGGGCTTCTTTCTAATAGGCTGGAAAAGGAGAAAAAGAAAGAAAGAGGCCAGGTTGTTAAGGGTTATAGTTTGGGTGATTCTCTCTTGATTGACAGGCTTAGATTACAGAACCCTTTACTTAGTGTGCCCATTCTGCCCTTGATGCATATAATGTTAAGCGCATCATCTTAGTCACTATTCTAATGCTGTGAAGGGGCACCATGACCAAGGCAACTTATAAAAGAAGGCATTTAATTGGGGGCTTGGCTTGTTTACAGTTTCAGAGCATTAGTCCATTATCATCATGGCAGAGCACATTACCATGTACCAGGTACATGTACCATGTACCAGGCAGGCAGTAGCTGAGGGCTCACATCTGATCCATAAGCACAAAGCAGAGAGAGAGCTAGCTAGCTGGGAATGTTGAGCTCTTTGAAACCTCAGAGCCCACCCCTAGTGTGGATGGAGCAGGGAAATGTACTGTGTTGTCAATGGGAGACCTGTGGAGATTTGCTGAACACTGCTAGAGAGAGCTAGTGCAGAAGAACAAATAATAGACAAGTATCTATTCACAACAGAAATGAGCAAAGAAAAAATTACAATTTCTATATAAACTATAATGATTTGGCAGAGTTGCTAATAAAATCAATATGAAAGCTAGGTGGGCTGGCTCACCTGTGTGATCCAGAGTTCTTGGAAGGCTAAGGCAGTAGAGCCTCTGAGACTTTGAGGCCTACTGGGGCTACTGAATAACGCTCTGTCTCAAAAAGGAAGCAAGCAAGCAAAAACAAAGCAGCAAAGAAACCCATCCAAGCTAGAAAGCAGTCAACGGCCATGGCCTACAGACTTAGAGAACAATGTACTGTATGTTTCAAAGATGATACAAGAAAAAGTTTGAATATTCTCTCATAAAGAATAAATAAGGAGTTATAGGAGTTTATATACACATACTCTGGAGTGAGTGTTGTACAGTGAAATAAAATACATGTTTAAAAATTTCATGGAACCCCACATGTATATACAATTTATATGCCAATTTTAAAAAGTTTTAACTTGTATCTCACTGTATCTTACATAGTTAAATGTGTTAGAATAAATCAAGCATACAAATAGAACAAACGCAAAATAAAATGCAGAAATGACTCTTAAATAAATGGAGTCAGAATTTAAAAAATTACGCTTTCATACGTAACCAAAGCAGCTATAAAATATGCAAAAATAGCATTTAAAAGTACCCAGTGCTGTGCTGGCCAGTTTTATGTCAACTGGACACAATGTAGTATCATCTGGGAAGAAAGAATCTTAATTGGGAAGATACTGACATGGGATTGGCCTGTAGATCAGTCTGTAGGACATTTTCTTGATTGGTGGGAAGGCCTGACTCATTGTGGATGGTACCCTGAGAAGGTGGCCCTGGTGGGTATAAATATATTTCCATTTTTGCTCATGTCATTTCTGTTTAAGCATTGACAGAGAAAGTTGTAGAGTCAAACCTAAGACACACAGTGATAAAATATACACACCCAGATTCAATAAAGAGGTGATTGGGCTATGAAACAATAGCCCAGTCTGTCACATTGGAAAGAGCTTGCCTCATGTAGCTGTCCTATACAAATGAGTGCACATGTGGACCAGGACACCTGGGCATCAGATGAAGTCAGCCTTCTAAGGATGACCAAATGAATTTGTTACATTAAATGATAGAAGAGAATTGGAAGAAGTCAAGGGTGTGAGGATGAGAACGTGTTCTCCTCTAGGACCTGCAGAGAGCCACATCTCAGTGAATGCATTTGAGATTTCTGACCTTCAGTACAGCAAGATAATAAATTTGTATTGTTGGAAGCCACTTAATCTGTGATAAGCTGTCATAGCAGAAGTAGGAAATGAGTCCCTATGCCATAGGAATTCATATCAGCATCATAGTCTGAAAGGAATGCTCAGATGGCCATCAAAGGAGTACATCAAGCCTGCTAATTTTTACAACAAAATTATGGGTACTGCTGGTTGTTTATGAACTGCAGCTATGAGAACCTGCATGAGTAATCCAAAGTCTACAGTATCAGCCAAAAGATGCCGCACACCCAACAAATGGTTCAGTTTACATAAAGCCCCCTCACGTAAGACAACTGGAGGGTGAATGCCTACATGGGGAATCTGTTTTTTAAAAGGCTGAACAACATTAACCACAAAGGGAAAGTCACAAATGGAGGTGGCTCTAGGTCCTTGCAACTTTCTGTTTCTTGAGCTTCAGTGTGGCAGTTTGCTCACTTTGTGATAATTTATTAAGCCGTTCATTTGTTTTACACACTTTTATGTATATGTGTTATATTCCCCAATAAAATGTTCTCACTAAGCCAGGCGGGGTGGCATACCCACCATTACATCTTTACAGAGTGTGATCCCAGCACTCTGGGAGGCAGAGGCAGGTGTATCTCTTGTGAGTTTGAGGCTAGCCTGGTCTACCAAGCGAGTCCAGGATAGCCAAGGCTACACAGAGAAACCCTGTCTCAAAAAAAAAAAAAAAAAAAGTCTTCACCAAAATTTGAGGAGAGAAGCAAGCTAATATGATCTCTAAGCAAGAGAGTTGCAGGCCTTTCCTTGTTAAATAATGAAGGGTCAGAGAGCAACCATTTGCCATTTGTGTGAAAAAGACTAATTGGTTGGGGTTCTTCAAACTCCTGTGGGGCTCTTCTGGAATGGGACTGCTAATCAGCACACTCAGGGTGCTGCCGGTTCCTGACACCAGTCTACTCCTATGTCCTCAGGTACAAACTCGAGACCTATTCCCGATTTCCTGCTCTGTATACAATGCGAGACACATTTTCTAATTGGCTTTTCTGTGTACCAAGGTTTAGTATCTTAATTCCCTTCATTTGTTACTGCCATGGGAGAAGCAGGATGCAAGCAAAGAGATGAGACCTCATGCTTTCTTCCTTATTCTTAGAACATGATACTCTGAGGTTTTGGATTCAGAAGCCAACCTGAGCAAAGGCCCATGGAAAATGGTCTCAGGAGACACTGGCCAGGCACCGGGAGACTGAGAGGGAACTCAGTGCAGAAAGGGTTATATTAAGCAGAATGCCATTGTATGAAACTTGTGTTTGATCTTTCAGTGGCATTTTTATCTGAGGATTGGCAGAAAGGAGAAACTGACATATCATCTCAGTCCCTCACTGCTCAAAGCTGTGCACATGAGTGTTCTTTGCCCAGCTCTCAGATGCCACATGCAGGCAGGCAACAATGACTTTTGGTGACAAGCCTCTTAAAAAGGGAGATGCTCACATAACCATAGGACGTCAGGTCCGAGCACACCAAAATGGCGAGAGCTGCTCAACAGCTCTGGAAAGACACTGAGAACACCTGCCACCGTTCTCCTGCAGGTAACACATGAGGGATGGAGGAGGTGTGTTTGAGATATGGTTAGCCCTCTAGTGTTGTGTGTTGGCGGTGGCATCCCTGGCATGTACTGTTGAGATGGTGAGATATGAACAGTGTGGGGCCTGGGGAGGTAATTGGGTCCTGAGGGGTCCCCGCTTATGAACAGATCAATGCTGGTCATGTCTCTCTGGAGTGACTTCCCTGAAGATGAGTTACTATAAGTGGAACAAACATGTTCTTTCCCTGAGACAGATGAAGGGGACTCAGCTCTCTGTAGGGCCCTGGGTGGGTGCTAAATGTTAAAATAACTATTAGTGTTAATTTTAAGGTTTTTAGATCTTTGCCCTGAGCGTGCCATCTGGTGTTCATTTTCCTGTAAATAAGCAAAAATGTTGAAGGATGTGACAATTTGACTGTGATCAGCAGGCATCCTTTGGATTCCTCCTTGCTTCCCTAGCTGTTTTGAGTGAGAGAACCATCAGTCAAACACAGCTAGATTACCCTTGTGTCAGTAATAGGTGTTTTGAAAACTCCATGAATGCCTTGTCAAAACTACACAAAGACAGGCGATCTGCCCCACCTCCTGAACACAGAGCCCCAAACTGTCCATACCAGATGTTTTGGTCTCACAAGTCTTGGTGAACTCTAGACACCTTCCAACCATTTCCACACAGGTCAGAGGAGCGTGACCCCTGGGGGTCCAGGAGAGGAACTGCGGTGATGGGCATGAAGAGGCTAGTCTCTGATTAGTGTGAGCATGCTCCTTCATTTGCATATGATGTGTGCTGTGATTGGCTGTTGGGTCAGGCTGCGTGGGTCACCGAGGGAGTCAGCGGGGAAATCACATCTGCTCCCTCTCTGGCATTGCAATGTTACATTCAATAAAAGAGTTCTCTCAAGCGGTCCTACCCTCTTCCAGCTTAGTGGCTTGCAGACCAAGCTAATGGCCAGGAGCCCCAAACAGCTGGCACTGACCAACACTGTGACAATGACCGACCTTAAGTTAGGCACAGAAATCTCATCTTCCCAGACCTGCACAAGAGTCACAATACCATCTTCCGTCCATGACTGAGGCGCCCTGATGCCTGTAAAGCTGCAGCACCAATTACAGCCCCGGGCTGCAGAAGAGAGCAGAAATGTAGAATTAAGCAAACCTGGGCAAGGACCACCCCCTGCTGCTTGCACCTCGGCTGCCAGCTGTTGTCATCCACTGATAGACACAAAAGCCACCAAAGACTAGCATTTGAAGAACATGTCTACGTGAGTGTGACAGCTCGAAACAGACTGACACAAGTAGGAAGCCCAGGAGGGAACCTACCAAAGCCAATACAGCCTGGAGCCTGCGGAATCAGAAACAGGGCACCTGATTGCCTGGGGGCTTTCTGGTCCTTACTTTTGGTTTTAATCTAGTGTCCTCTCTCTGTTCTTCTGATCTCAGTTTGTGAGTTGGGGGGGGGCATTGGAGAAAAAGAAAAAAGCTCATTCTGCTGCTCCTGGAAAGACACAGGAGTCACCAGCAATAACAGTGACCAAATGAATATCGCGTCTTCAGTTGTAAGTTGTTATAGACACCATAAATTATGGACTCCAGACATCTGTGTGAACTAGGTTAGTTTGTACTTTTGATTCTCAAGAACTTTTCTTGCTATGGGGACAATTTTGTATTCTAGCTGAGCCACAACTCTTAAATTCTAGCTATAGACTCATCTGAAAGACAACTTTTGAATGGGATAATCAATGTTTTATTGATTATATTATCTGTGAACTGTGATTAATAAATAAAATGAAACAGCAATGTTTTCTTGGATAACTTCATTTTTTAGTATTTATGAATATAAACTATTTTGTACTTACTTTTCCTTTCCACCAGTCTGAGCTGTAATTAAAATCATTTATATGCAGTTATACAATCCCACTCCCCCAAAAGACTAGTTGAATACAGCACCTTACACAAGCATTATTTTGTCAATATGTTCCTGTATGCTGTTTCCCCTACCTTAAGACAACAAGAATGAAAATTATATGTATGTGTGTATGGTATTCCCTTTAAAATAAGTTAAAAGATGTTTCAAAACTCTCTACCAGAAATTTTTACGGTAAATAAAGTGAATAGAGCTGTTGGGTCGGTTTGTCTGGTTAGTTTTATTCATGGGACCCAGCACAGGGACCCATTGACATACACGTAGCATCATTTTCTCCAAGCTATTTATGTGGTACAGTCCACCGTCTGCCTTGACTTCATCAGTTCTTTTTTCAGCTGCTCAAAGCACACAAACATGATGACGTTCCAGGAGCCCAGTCGCAGGAAAGAAGGCACAAACCTAGGGGAGTACAAGGCACCGACCTGTTGGCTGGTTGGAAGTCATAAAGCCAGGGTGGTGGGCAGCATGCATTAGCCATAAAGCACAAGGGAAGAAGATGAAAGTTTTCCATTCTCATATTTCCTCTACCGACAGCTAGCTTTCCTGTACAGCTTCAAAGCGAGATCACAATCAGACCAATCCTCCCGTCCTCCCCTCCTACAGAGCTGAAGTGAATCTCCTGCTCTCTGAGATGGCTTTGTCCGGGCAGAAGGGGGAGAGAGACATTTTTGTTTCACTTTACTTCCTAAAGGAAGTAAGAAACTATTAAGAAAGGAAGCAGAGGGAAGAAAGTGCTCAGCTAGCATGTGAACCACTTCCAGGTGGGGAAGCCCGTGTTGTCTTCCCCTGGATGGCTCTTCAGAGACCCCCAGTGTGCCTCAGTCCGTTCTGGGCCTGGGGAATTCCAGTAAGCTATGTGGAATGGCGTTTTTACCAATTGGCTGCTCCAGAAGACAAATGTGTTGGCAGTTAAATCTGCTTTGAATAGACTTTTAAAACATTTATTGTGTCAGTGCGCTGCCGACATGGATGCGTGCCATGCTCGTGCTTGGTGCGCAGGGAGGCCGGGGGCATCCAGAGGGCCACTCTGGGACTAGAGTTGGGGATGGCTGGAAGTCACCATGTGATGCTGGCAAGTGAACCTAGGTCACTTGGAAGAATAGCCAGCGCTCTCCATCACTGAGCTGTCTCTGCAGCCCTGAACAGGCTTTTTTTTTTTTTAATTTTTTTTTTTAAGAAACCTTTTCTACAAAAAGTACCTCCCACCCAGTGAGCTTTGCTTTTATTCTTGTTTTATTTTAGTTTAGTTTTGAGAGAGGGTCTTGCTCTAGGGCCCAGGGTGGCCTGTGCAGCCAGCTGGCTTCAGACTTCTAGCAATCTTCACTTCTGCTCCTGTCTCTCCAGTGCTGGGACTAAATGCATGTGCCAACATCTCTGCTTCCCCAGTGAGTTTTTACACTCCTGGGTCTCTTCACACAGTTCTCTTGACTCCCAGGTGTGTGTGTATGTGTGAGAAAATACATAGATAGCATAACACTTGACATTTCAACCATTTTTAGTGTCTAACTAAATAGCATTTAGTACATGTGCAATGTGAAGTAAACACCAGGGCACACTCCATGGTGTTTTGTGTTCTGGGGTTCTTCATTCATTCATTAAATAGCTCTCTGCTGCCCCTGTCAAAGGTTAATTCGGGTGTTCTTCAGCATGGCCAGGCTCTCTGAGACATGGCGCTCAAATATTAGGTCAGCCTGGCTGCTCAGCCAGCACCAGCACTGGAATTGCAAGCGTATGTCACCATGCCCAGCTTTGACGTGCTTCTGAAGCTGACTCCAGGCCCCATGCATATGTGGCAACTGCATCACAGGCTGGTCTTGAACTCATGGCTGTCCTCATGCCCTAGCCTCCCATGTTCTGGGGTTACAAGCTTGTGCCACCACAGCCAGCTCAGCTTGTTTAATTTAGCATCATTTGTCAAGATCGTTCCATATTTAAAAATTTTAAATATGAAAAATAGCATTTAAAAATTAAATTTGCAAAAATAAAATTATTACATTGTTAATAATTTATACGTGGTGTATTCATTTTAAGTTATTTTTATAATGTATATTTTTGTGTAATCTATCATAAAAAAAGATAGACATAGTATTTGATATAGTATATATGATACGATTATATTTTAGTTTATAACTTTTGGGCATGGCTTTACAGTTCAAAATATTACAAAACATTACTATTTTATATAATTGTTATACTTACTGAATACATTTTAAAAACTAGGTCATATTGTATTTTGTTAGAAAAGTGGTTTCCAATATAATACAATATCACTCAGGGAAATATGTTCTATTTCTCAATAATGCTTTCAACGTGAATGTAATCATTATTAAAACAGTATTTTCTGTGTTACGTTTTTTGTGGTTTTGTTTTAATAGAAGTTTTTAAAATTAGGCTAAAGGCATAGCTTAGTGATAGACTGCTTGTCTGGCATGTATAAGGGCCGCGGTTTGATTTTCTCCCAAGCACTTCCAAAAATAATTAATTAGCTTTTCTTTTCTGGCGTGATGGATTGGTGGATTGAAGACATTCATGACAAGGCAAAGACATAGTTTGAGGCCATTGCATGGTCCAGGCCTGGTAGGCTAAATGCCAGTTGTTTTGATGAGAATTGTCTCAGCACACATGGGATCTTAAACACAAATGTATGGAAATGGAAAGTTCTATCCTACCCTTTGAAGAAGGCCGTTGGTCCTTCCTTGTTGAACATGGTCATTGCACAGCTGGGCACACTCGGGTACTGTCCTGGTAGAGAGTTGATGAATCTCGTTTTCACCACATCCACTGGAGAGGCCAGCAGTGTGGTGCAGAAGCCGGCAACAAGAGCTGACAGCAAATGGCATGGGACGTCATCTGAAAGGGAAACGGATCAACACTAGACTTTGAGGTGCCTGTGGTTGTAGTGGCCTGTCAGACACTTGTAAACCATTAGTAACAGGAAGTTAATATGATATCTTATATGATAAGCATATACTTGTGCTAGGAAAACGTGGCTGATGGTACATGGCATAATGACTGTGGATCCATTTGCAGATTTGTTATTTTAGGGTGATACTGTTTTCTGTGTGCCTTGGATCTGGGATAATGCCTAATACATAATTACCTAATACTGTTCAATGGAATTAAGTTTGTCAAAGGAGAATGCCCGTGCCTGTAGAAACAGTTAGGATATGGTGTAGAGTAAAATCAGTGCCGCACTTGACTGCCTCCTGATCCTGCAGTCTGAAGGGGAGAGGCCCATCAGAAGTTCACTTCTTGGTATTAATAGAGGATACTGGGACAGCATCCCTTTGCACTTTTACAGAAACACTGAAACAAAAACTTTGTTCAGTTTTTCACTTTAAAGTTTAGGTCTTTTTGGCTTCCTAAAAGATTACATTTGCCAGGTATGGTGGACACAATTTGAACTCAGTACTTGTGACCAGCCTGGTCTATATAACAAGTTTAGGGCCAGCTAGGACTACATTCTCTCTCTCTCTCTCTCTCTCTCCCTCCCTCCCTCTCCCTCTCTCTCTCTCTCTCTCTCTCTCTCTCTTTCTCTCTTAGTCTACTAGCATTCAACAAAATACGGTGTGGCTTTAGACACTCTAAACAGAGATTGGAAATGTGCAGATATGTCTGTTGTATGAAGCGGGAAATACCTGCCAGTATTCGGTTATTCACCAGGGCCCCCTTCATGAGGTCATATGTTACCAGCTCTGTACAATTGATGATGACATTTCTCATTAGATTAGGGGTTGTCCCTGGAGAAAAACAAGACATTGTTTAATAAATAAAGTGTGTGATAAGGTGCTCGCCGGGCTCATGTGCCTTAATATGGAAGTCCCCCTGGCACCTAGCTACCTTTCCAGAGTGTTGACAAGCTTTCTGTTGTGGCTATAATTCTGTAAGCATTGTAAGTTCCAGTGTAGCGGGGTTTGATGCCGTGTAGATGGCTCTGTGCTTGCATTCTGACTTTCACGACTTCTGTAGGTTGCCCGATGAATACTGCCACACCTCCAGTCATTAAGCCAGCTGAGATCTTGTTCCCCAAAGTGGCAGGTGCTATCCAGAAAGAATAAAAGGTTGGTTAAAAAAGAAAAGCAAGACCTCACCCCTGCCCCTGCCCAAGGCATCCACGTATATTTTTAGTTTTTGTGGAGTTTTTTATTTTTTATTTGTGTGTGTGTGTGTGTGTGTGTGTGTGTGTGTATGTTCTAGGACCACCTCTGGCCACCTTTCTTCAGGAAGCCAAGGCAGGAACTCCTACCAATGGACACCTTACCTAGTAGACTAGCTTAGCTGGCCACTAACCCCCAGTCTCGGCCTGCCTTCACCTCCTGAGTTGCTGATTCACAGATGTTTTCCATCACATCTGGATTGGGGTAGTGGTGAGCATGGATTGAACTCAGGTCCTTGATCTTTCAAGGCAAGCACTTTACTGAGCCATCTCTCCAGCTCTAGTATGTTCACTTTGTGTCTTTTCTTTTTTCCTAATCCTTTTTTCAGATTGTTTGGAGGCTATACCAACTCACAGTTCACAGTAGTGCTAGAAAACTTCAGTAGCCTTGTTTTATTTCTCCCTCAAAATAAAGACTTTCAAGGAAAAGGAAAGCAATGCCTATTTAGACAGCCTTGTCCCTTTCTGGAATTTAGCTTTCCATTTCCTGTGTTTAGCTGTCACGTTTAATATTTCCCATCTGAGAGGCGAGGCATCTGGTCACCAGTGGTGCTAGATTCTCCTTATCCATGACAGTTGATTTTTGAACTTAGTGTCCGAGGGAAAATACAGTGGGTAACTGCCTGAATGTAAGACATCAAGTAACATTCAAAAGGGACAAAAAAAATCTTTGCCTTAAAATTGTGAAAAAAGTGTATTGCTGAAGAGAGACATCATTTAATACAATTTCAATGACTCCTGAAATCCAATATTCCTATAGTGAGTATACAGATAGAGTTCAAGAAGGTTCACTTACTAAAGCCTTTCTTAGTCTTTCTATTTCTGTCTCCAGACTATAAAATAGAGATAGCATCATACCACAGGATAGCATCAAGTGTGAGTTCATATTGATGAAGCTCTCAGTACATAAAAGACACACAAAGCTGGTAGCAGCTTTCTTTTTAGGTGTGATTATAGCTGTACCCCTAGCCCATCGTCCTCAGCCAGGCGCTGAGCATGTAGCAATTGTTTTTCAATAGGTATCATTACCTGATTACAGTTGCCTTCACTGAGGCTAGGTTTCACCTGGTAATGGCTTCTACACTGAATTCATCACCTCCCTAAGGCAGTTTCTCTATTCTCTCCCACAAGTTTATTCAAAAACTTGAAAGTTGTCTTACATTTCTATTTTTCTATTAAGCCTAGTTTCTCACCAATTTAACCAGTTGTGTATTTTAAAGCATTCAGTTTGGCACCCTGATTCTTCTTTCCTGTATGCAATCGTGCATACCACAATCATTTCTGACTTATGATTTTTATATACATATTCTCTACTGCTACCAAAGTAATCTACTGAAGTAGAAATGTGCTTATTACACTAGCTTAACCTGTTTGCTGTTGTTATTGCTAGAGACTGAACCTAAGGCCAGGGTTCTACCCCCGAGTTCTATGCCTATTCATTCATTTATTAGTTTGAGACAGAATCTTTTTAGGTGGCTCAGACTGGCCTTGAACACTTGATATCTATGTCTCTGCCTCCCAAATCCTGAGATTCCATGTATGTGCCACCACACCTGATGGTCTGCTTAGCATTTTTTTTTTTCAGTGACTTCCGATCACTATGTGGGTAGAATACAAACTCCTTACAGTGAACTTCAAGGCCCTTTATGACCAGTTCCTGCTTTTCTGGACTCACTTGTCCTTTCTCACCAAATGCAGCTGCCCTCACTACCCTGCATGTCTGCTCCACTCCTTTCTGACATTTTAAACAGTCTTCACTTGACTGGAAGGGACTTGCCTCACCACATTGCTACCGGTCCCCAAAGCCTCCTATTGTTTTTTCAAGAGTCAATCCAGACACCAACTCTTCAAGAGTCTTGCATGATCATGCCAGTTCACTGTGCCTAGTCTGTGGTGCCTTGCAACAAAGCCATGGCTGTGTGGTCAGCTGAACTGGGGACACCTGTCTGGAGTGGCAACTCTCATTTCCCACCCATGAAAATTCAGCAAAGCTTACTAGATCAAGCGAAAAAGCATAATGCAGAACAAGGAATACTCTTAGAGGATATCTGATTTGTTTGGAGACTAATATACCCAGTGGTTGATTAAAACATTTGCAGAAAACCACCCAAATGGGCCGCTCTAGGTGTGTCTCCTCTTGCTACCTCTACCAAGACGACAACACAGTGCTGACACAGAAACACCCAGACCTCAACACCGGGAACTGTGTGCGGGTGGGTCTTCCTTAGCCACCAACGCAGACTTCCCGCAAGCTCCCTGGGCTTCTCTGAGACTCTGCTGTTTGGGAAAGTCCGCACCAGGCAGTGTCTTATAGCCCCACCACATCTCCCATGAAGGGGCACATGCTTCCCCCAATGGCCAGTTGATGTTTACAGGTAGAAACCTGTGTGTGAAGAACTGATTTGCATATCTCCTTTTATTTCAAGGAGAAAAGAGACAGCACAAATATTGTCTTCTTCTTCCTCTTCTTCTTCTTCTTCTTCTTCTTCTTCTTCTTCTTCTTCTTCTTCTTTATCTTCTTCTTCTTCTTTTTCTTCTTCTGCCAGTGCCACTACATTTTCAGCTACTTTGGGTGAGTTGGCACTGCTGAGATGGAACCCAGGGCCAAGCTCATGCCAGGCAAACATACTATCACTCATTTTTCAATTTTTGAATACAGCCCAGTCTGGGGCATAGCTGCCCCCCCCCCCCTTTCCCAACACTCCTTACTTTCTCTCCCTGAAGCGAAGTACTCTTGGACGGTATCGTAGAGGCCAATCCTGAGTGAGGCGAAGCTGATTTGCCTCTGAATGCCCGCAGGCAGACCGCTGTACAGTTTCGGCACCCCTTCTGTTTTTGCCAGGGTGGTGATGGTCCCTAGGACACCTTTATACCGAATGGTGCTGGAGGCTGGGCCTTCACCTTGGATCTGGAAATCAGAGAGGTGCAGGTCAGATGGTAGTGGCTGTCCATTAAGGAAGAGGGACCTGCCTGGTGAGGACTAAACAGGACTGGCACATGAAGACTGTGGAGATGCCCTAGGTAAGGCTCTTTTTATAAATTTCCTTTCTCAATAACCTCTCCTGCACACCTGCATTTCTCTCTCCCTCCCTCCTTTCCTCTCTCTCTCTCTTTCTCTCCCTCCCTCTGTCCATTTATCCATCCATCCATCCATCCATCCATCCATCCATCCATCCATCCATCTGAGGCTCTGAACACCTAAGCAAGGTACCCAGGGAACTCTCTGAGCCCCAACCTGCAGCACGGGTCAGCACCCCGAAGAATCAAAGAAAGGTAAAAGCGCCATGCTTGTAAACTCTGAGGGGTTTGTCTTAGTTCTTAGGACCCAATCTGCTTAACCTCATGAAGGGTTTGGTAGAGGTCACTATTAACTTTTCGCCCACTTTTCAGCAAATCCAGGAAAGGGGTCCCATTTCCTTTCCTACAGCTCCCAGTCCTAAGACAGCCACTCTGAGAAATCACAGCACACATCGCAGGGATGCCCACAGCAGACCCTCTGCCTGGGGAACCCTCCCAAGTTCACGAAACTCTACCTGAAGCCGGACTTTGGCGGTGTCCAGCGGGAAGGTAATGATATCTGCCAGGCAGGCCGCCACACCGGCTGAGAAGATCTTGACCCCCATGGTGGGCTGCACTTCAGAAGTTGTTGGGCTCACCATCTTGGCTCTGAAGACGGAGAAGCAGGACAAAAAGAATGCAACCCTGAAGATAACAGTGGCACTGTTGCCTGATGCGGGCACCGAACCCGCGACCTCCGACTTCTGGGATAGCCACCTGAGACGGGTGGTGCTGTTGCAGAGACCCTGCTGTGGAGGAGCTCAAAGGTGAGCTCTCCTCCTTCTCCCTCGGGCCGGGCCGGAAGGACTTGCTAAGCCTTCTTGGGCAACCTGGCCTGGGAGATCTTTATAGCTGGATCTCTGGAGGAGGGGCTAGGTGGAAGTGGCTGAGCCCGGCCAGCTAGTGGAAGGGGCGTGCCTTGGGGTGCAGAAGCCTCCCAGTGGCGCGTCACTCCCCCTCCCTGAAGCCCTGGCCGGCATCTCTGATTTGGCAGCACTTCCCGGTGATACCCAGAGGACACAGGAGGACACACCGAGGGGCTTCATCCCTCGTCCCAGCACGCCTGGTACCTTCTGTCACTCTTCAGCTGTGCGGCCGCGACCAGAGCGCAGAGCAGGGGCTGGCTTCCTTGAATGAGTGCTAACTGATCTTTAAGATAAAGTCCAGTAGGGAAGCTTCCATTCCCCCCCACCCTCACCCCCAATGGCTAGCTATACTGTAGGATGCACATCCCAGTGAGGCCCTCCAGGAACCCGGCTTCCCTATTTTCTTTCAATTCTGAATGCTCCTTTGTTTACATTCCTTTCCAAATGCCAACTTTAGACTGGGGTGTGTATGTCAAGAGGTCAGGTTGGTGTGGGATCTAATACCACTCTAAACTTTTACAAGAAAGTGTTTTGTGTGATTACTATTAGTAGGCAGATGTCAAATGAGCCCATAGGCATGCTAGCAAGCCTGGTGGGACTCTGCAGCCTGTGCCACTTTGGTTAGTTCTGAGCAAGAGCACTGCAAGGGACAGAGGTAGCTGGCTTGGCTGCAGATGCAACATGCCATTTGACCAGCTTTGTGACCCTGAGAAAGCCCTCCCACTTTTGTTTGAGACTGTGTCAAAACCTAGTGCCAATTCAGACACTCTAAAGTGGGTTTGTGGGGGATGAGGAGGTGTTACTTCTGAGCAAAGATTTGTTTTGAGCATTTACTTATTTGAAAAGTGTTTTTAAAATACCGCTTAACAAAACATGAGAAAGAAAGCTGGCGGGGTCTTCCAGGGTCACCCAGGGCCACCAGGGAGCCACTGCATGTTATCTGTGTTCTTCCTCAGCATCCAGACTTGGCATCCAGGAGAGCGAGGCCACGTGACACAGAGCACCCCTGGACACCGCGTTTACAGGAAGAAGTGAGCATGCTAAGCAGGAACCCAGTCCAGAGGCACTTCCATCATAACTCAGGCTGCTGAGGTTTGACTCAGAGGAGCAATGATGAGCAGCAGAGGTTAAGTCAGTGACCTGCGTGAGACAACAATGCCGGGGAAGCATACCGCCTTTTGTTGGCCTGGTGACTGGGAAACTGAATGAAGGGGAGAAAGCGGCAAGAAGTTGCTAAGATTGGGGGATGAAAAGCATAATAAACAGCTGGGTGGTGGTGACACACCTTTAACCCCAGTACTCCCAAGGCAGAGGCAGGCAAATCTCTGGCCAGGCCAACTAGGCTTACGGAGTGAGTTCCAGGACAGCCAGGGCTATACAGAGAAACTCTGTTTCCAAAAACAAAACAAACAAAAAATGTGCATCCTTTCTGTGTGGGGGTTCACGTTATTACCCCCATGCTATGCAGAGCTTCACAGACTGTAAAAACACTCTCTCAGAGTGCCACATCTAATCAGACAATACAGCTTAAGGAGGGTTACTGTGAGTCAAACGTCATTCAAAGATGACTCTTCGTTAGAGAAGATGGTCAAAGTCTTGGAGTTGCTGCCACCTGCTTGTCCTAAAGCAGTTGGCAGGAGATTTTATAATCTTCATAATATGACAACTTTTTCGTCTTAGGATTAATTGGAGAAAATGGTGTCTATGTTTTCATAGAAAGCTCCTATAGGAAACTTCATGCTACTTGAAGAGAATCAGAGCTGTGTGGAGGTGAAGGAAGGGGAATGAGTACAGTGGGATTGAGAAGAAGGACAAGGAGCAAGCCATGAAGAAACACCGAGTTATGGTCTAAGATGAAAAGCACTTGCTGCCCTGGGTCACCATATCTTATATCTTACATAGAAAAAGGCTTATTAATTTTTTTGCAAAGTTATGGATACATTCCTGTTATTTATTAATCACTGACTTTGATGTTAGAGATCTTTGTAGATTGACTTAAGAACTGGATGAAAACATTGTAAACATTATGGCTTAATAAATGTTTACTGTTTTATCAGGTATCAAAACAGTAAACATTTATTAAGCCATAATGTTTACAATGTTTTCATCCAGTTCTTAAGGAAGATACCTGATAAAACAGGGTCAGATGAAAGGGGAGGAGGTCCTCCCCTATCAGGGGACTTGGAAAGGGGCAGGGAGGAGACCAGGGAGGGAGTGTGGGGTTGGGGAGGGAATGAGGGAGCGGGATACAGCTGGGACACAGAGTTAACAAAATGTAACTAAAAAGAAAAATAAAATAAAAAAAAAAAAAAGAAAGAGGAACCTAAAAAAAAAAAAAAAAAAAAGAAAAAGTCTATATTAGCAACACTCCCTTAAACAACAGCCCTGTTCTCAGTTTCAAATAAGGTACTGCTACCAAATAAAAGGACATACACTAAAAAAAAAAAAAAAAAAAAAAAAATAAATGTTTACTGTAAAAAAAAATAAAATGTCCTTGTGGATGTCATGCTCAAGAGGCACCATGTAGGCCCTTCTGTTGTCCCCCACTGAAGCCCTAACCACTCTGCCATCTCCAGATGTCCAGCTTGATCCACCAAGTCATTCCTGTTGATGTGAACAGGAAAAGTTATCACCCAACAATGGTTTCCTGAATTCCTGATCCCGAAATGTGGGCCACAGCAGAATGAGAAGCTCACACACGGAGACACTGTGATGTCAGTTCAAGACAGTGAGTGGCTCTAGTTTCCGAGAAGAGGGCTGACCTTGCTGCCACCAGAGCCTCTGGGAAGTGGGAGAAAGTTCGCCTCGTGATGGAGAGAGCAGTAGGGGACAGGCTGGTATCCCCAGAGAGTCAGCTTTCTGCTCTTTTGGCAGAAAGAGTTGGGAGGTGAAGACTAGGTCAGTGTGATCAAGGGTGGCTGACCTTCTGTGATGTCGCAAAGGAGAGGCAGCAAGGTTCACTTTCCAAGTGTCCATGGCTGTCTCCTAAAATGTAGAGCACCAATTCATAAAGGCACCTGCTGACAGTGACTTCAGAGTCACTGAACAAATGTATTCAATCAAAACACAAAGGCATCATGGCACTTTGCACTTGAATGGGGGTCCCTGCTCTCCCAGGGACTGCTTATCTGTCTACAGTAGGAAATGTAAGGGCATAGCTATACAGATAGATGTTCAAATGACATTTTTTAAGAGAAAGAACATACAGACATTGAACATGAAAGGAGATGCATTTAATTCTACTAACCTAGAAATGTGCAACTTCATCTAATAACACCCTTCTCTACCAATCTCACAATTAAACATAACATGCATTTTAAATTTGACATCAGGGATATAGTTATTCATGTAATTGAAACTTTGAATGATAAAGTAGCAGTACTCTGTCAATGATGGCATTATAGATTGGCATACTTATTTTGAGATGATTTGGCAGTGTGAGCTATGAAAACGTTTATGTCTTGGTGATGCTGCTTTTGGGTTTAAACCCTAAAGTAACTATCCCAGACATGAGAGAGTCACCACAGCTTAATAAACCTAATATGGGGGCCACCCTCACTTCAGAGCCAGATGTACATCTCTAGGATTGGCTCTTCTAGTGAAAGAAATTACACCATTAGAAATGGATTCCAAAGTGTGAAAGAAGACTGTCCTAGGGGTAGGACAGAGCTGGAAGGACTGGGCTGGTCTTCTTGGTTCAGTATATCCTAAAAGAAGAGCATCTTTCAAACCCACTGTGAGGAGGAAACATCCTACCTCAGTTCCAATTAAAGTACTCTACAACGCTGTGATTAATGGAACAACATGCCTGTGCTCAAAGGCATCTGAAGTACTGACTGGACAATCGGCTTTAAATTTTTTGGCTTTTCCAAAGCACAAATCCTTTACTTTAGGGATTTACTTTACTTTAGGGACTAGGGAGATGGCTCAGCAATTAAGAGCACTTGGTGCCCTTAAAGAGGACCAGAGCTCTGTTTCCAGTAACCACGATGGTCAGCTAGCACCTGCCTGTCGCTTCAACTCCAGAGGATCCAGGGCCCTCTTCTGGACCTTCAGGGCACCTGCAAGCACAGATACGCACAAGGTTTTTAAAAAATATTTGCTTTTGCAATGTATATTCCTGTATCAATGAGACTATTTTATGACTATTTAGTCATTTGATGCTAAGTTCTTGATGTATAAAGTATGTACAACCCTCAAACTTCATAAAGCTCTTCTCCTTTAATGCATCTGACCCACACATACATATAGCATCACAGCATTTGAAGAGATTTGCAAACTCTACCACAGTTCCCACTGCACACCTCTGACATACATGCTGTTGTCACCCCACCTCACAGAGCAGGAAACGTGGGTGCTCAGAGGCGACCACATGACTTCTCTTAGGCCCCAGTATGTAGAGCATTTAGGGTCTTTCTGGCCACCAGACTCAATACTATATGCTGCATCAACTGTTTGCTGTATATGTCTGAGCCATGGTACTTTCCTGTGACTTGAAGGTGTCTAATAACAATTAGGACTCCTAATATACCTTTGAGTAAGTTATATCAAATGTAGCCTTTTATTTGATTTCTTTATATTTCTAAGAAATTTGCAAAGGTCACAAAAGGCACACACACACACACACACACACACACACACACAAACACCTTTTAAGACCTTTGGAAAGTGGGGCTGGAGAGGTGACGCCATGATCATGAGAATTTACCGCCTTACCAGAGGATCTGAGTTTGCTC